ACCCTTCCTGTTCTACAGAAAACCTTGTTAGAAACTGGGGGTGGAGGTAAAGTAGGCAACAGTGTTTATTTTTAGTTACTTTTCGCTTTCATGTTTCAAAGATCTCCTGGGAAATAGAATTGTTACAGGCCACTACAACACAGTTACAATGCGTCCTATCTTGTGATGCATTTACATGTTTGTCTCTGCAGTGGACTGTACATTCCTTGAGGACACGGGCCACATCTGTCTTGTTCATCTCTGTGTCCCTCTGCTTCCCCTCCCCAACCAGGATGATGTGAGAAAAACTCTAGGAGAGGTACTAATCAATGTCAAATGAAAAAAATGTACAAAATGCTATGAATGGGCATTTTGCAGGCAGACACTGTTCTTGTTTTGTGATGACTCTACTGACTTTTATTTTGTTTATATGTGCTGGTTGCCGGCCTGCACTGTGCCTAGCACTGTGTGGGGGTCCAGAGCTCAGCTGGGTCTGAGATGGACGTGGGCCTGTGCCCGCACAGCTTGCACTCTAGAGAGAGCCAGCCCACAGGTAACGACAAGGGTGGTGAAGAGGGACTGTGACACGTAGACCTGGAAGTGGTCTCGGTTAGGGGCACAGGGAGAGCCTCAGAAGGAAGTGAGATTTAACCTAATGCCCCCCAAACAAAAACTAACCATTTAGCTAACATTTTCAGTTCAGTTCAGTTCAGTAGCTCAGTCGTGTCCGACTCTTTGCGACCCCATGAATTGCAGCACGCCAGGCTTCCCTGTCCATTACCAACCCCCAGAGTTTACCCAAACTCATGTCCATTGAGTCGGTGATGCCATCCAACCATCATCCTCTGTCGTCCCCTTCTCCTCCTGCCCTCAATCTTTCCCAGCATCAGGGTCTTTTCAAATGAGTCAGCTCTTTGCATCAGGTGGCCAAAATATTGGAGTTTCAGCTTCAACATTAGTCCTTCCAATGAACACCCAGGACTGATTTCCTTTAGGATGGACTGGTTTAATAGAACTTATTATGTGACAGGGGTGTCCCTGGTGCTTCAGTAATAAAGAATTTACCTGCCAATGCAGGAGATATAGGTTCGATCCCTGGAGAAAGGAATGGCAACCCACTCCAGTATTCTTGCCTGAGAAATCCCCTGGACAGAGGATCCTGGCGGGTTATAGTCCATGGGGTTGCAAAAGAAGTCGGACACGACTTAGGGACTAAACAACAATTTCATGTGACAAGCACCATTCTTAGGGCTTCTTTACATGTTTAACTCATTTAATGCTCACAATGGCCCTATGAAGTACAGACTACCATTATCTCATTTTAGAGATGAACACAGAAAGTTTAAAAAACTGGCCCATGGTCACACAGCTTGTAGAGCCAGAATTCAAACCCAGTTAGTCTACACACTTAACAAGGAATTAGGTAAAGGGGAAGGCCAGGCATATCATTTAGGACAAGAGATAAGGCTAGACAACAAGTTGGGGAATTTATTGTGAGAGCAATGGGAAGCCACTGACGGCTTTAAGTAAAATGAACATGGTGAGGTTACATTAGAGGAGGCAAAGTGGGAGCGGGGGAGCTGTTAACATGGGCCAAGGCAGACAAGATGGTGACTTGGACTAGTGTGGTAGTGATGAAGAGGACGGGATGGGATTGGGTTAGAGAAAAACAACCGGAGGCAGAACCAGCGGAACAGGCTCATGGATGGGATGCGGGGAGAAGGGGCTTGTGTCAGATTTCTGGACTGGATATGTGAAGTGGACATGTCCATGGAGGAGGGGGAGAAGCAGGTTTGAGCAGATGCAGGTTTGGAAGTTCAGCCTTTGATTTAGGGCGTTGGATAAAGGGGACCTTGGGACAACCGAGGAGCATGTCGAGTGGTCAGTGAGGGGGACAGTTGGACTGAGGAGAGGGTGTGGGCAGTGGCGGTTTTCAGAACAAAGAAGGTCCCCAAAGCTCCAGGAGATGTGGGTGGGTCCTGAGGGGATGGAGGAGCAGGGCATCTCGACAGTCCTCCTCAGAACCCCCCAGGGTACGGTCAGAAATGGGAGTCCTCAGCTCCACCTAAACCCTAGACCCAGGGAGGCCAGTTCCCTCGGTGGGGTCTGAGCGTGGCCTTTTTGCAGGCTTTCTGGGTGACACTAAGCAGGAGGGCCTTGGGCCCGACTTGGTGAACAGTAACTCTGAGGACTTGAGAAGAGTTGGAAGAACTGTCAGGGATGGGGAGTTATCCTGGCTCACAGCCTCCCTGCCCCCAACCCCCCAGCTCCATTGATGAGATGTGGCCCTCACTCAGCTTGGGCAGGATAGCTTGTGTGACCTGACTGGCCTCCCGTAGTGTGTCTCTTATCACCTCCGTCACCTGCTTACAGCCTTCTCACTCCAGCTGGCCCTCAGGATAACATCCCTTCCATTGGACCCCTCATAGCAGGTCACCCATAAACCGCTCCCAATCCACCTCTCCAGCTTTCTTGCTCATTCCTTCCTTCCTGTTTCCTCCCCCTTCCCCCTACCCCTGTCCATGCAGCACTCAACTTTTCCTGAATGCTTTCCATGTGGCCTGTAACAGGTTGTTCCTTATACCGGAATATCCGTCTCCTAAAACCAATTCCTTCCAGTTTCTCTGGATCCTGCTCAGAGGCTGCTTCCCCCTCAGAGTCCCTTGTTCTGCTCCCCTCTTACTGTGGGCCACAGCACTTGCCCTAGGTCTGAGGGGATGGAGGAGCAGGGCATCTTGACAGTGTCCCTCAGAACCTCCCAGGGTATGGGTTAGAAATGCGAGTTCTCAGTTCCACCCAGACCCTAGACCCAGGGAGGCCAATTCCCTGGGTAGGGCCTTTTTGCAGGCTTTCTGGGTGACAGTGAGCTGGAGGGGCTTGGGCCCTCAACTCAGGAAGCCTCTGGACACAGAGAGAGACATGCAGATCATCTCCAAACACACCCGGACACTTCTTGAGAGTGCAGATCTGTGTCCTTTCAACCCTGAATCTGTTACCAAGAACACAGGGCCTGACACAGGGAAGACGCCTGCAGGACCTCATGTGTATGAAAATGGTCTTCTAAAGCAGATTTGAGTGTAAGATTCTGGAGCTTGTTTACCTGCCCAAGACCCAGACAGTATTCAGGGACTTTGACTGCAGGAACATGGGTTATAAAAGAGAATTTGCTGGTGGATGCTGATTTCCCTGGCGAAACTGATGGCATGGCTGGAGTATGCCCTAGGAAGTCACAAGCCTGTCTTTGAATAAGGCCTGCAGTTTGGGCCTGTGGTCACCAACCCTAGGCTAAGTCCTACTGACTGTGATCCATCTAAAGCTGTCACATGGACATGACTGGTCTTGAGCCTGGTCCCATCCCCTAGCAGCATACCTTGCTCAGGCCTTTGAGTCTTTCCCTCTCTGAGACATGAGTGGGCTGGCTGAAATCGCTGCTCTCTCTCAACCCCCCTCCCCCCAACACCAGCACAGGGAGGTTACTCTTTAGGGAAATTGGGGTGAGTCTGTCTTACTTTTAAGTGTCCAGCTTGACTTTTCTACTTCTTCTGGCTTTGCTTTGGTTGCTCTTTTTCTTTTTCACTTATATTTCTTGTTTTATTGCAAGATATTCACTTTATAGTTTTGTGCTGGTTTCTGCCACACATCAACATGAATCAGCCACAGTTATACATTTGCCCCCTCCCTCCTGAACCTCCTTCCCATCTTCTACCCCATCCCACCTCTCTAGGTTGCCACAGAGCACTGGGTTGAGCTCCTTGTGCCACAGAGTAAATTCTGTCTATCTGTTTTACATATGGTAATGTATATGTTTCCATGCTTCTCTCTCAATTCTTCCCACCCTGTCCCTCCCACACCATGTCCACAAGTCTGTTCTCTGTATTTGTGTTTCCATTGCTGCCCTGCAAATAGGTTCATCAGTACCGTCTTTCTAGATTTCATACACGTGTTAATATACAGTATTTGTCTTTCTCTTTCTGACTTACTTCACTCTGTAAAATAGACTCTAGGTTCATCCACCTCATTAGTACTGACTCAAATGCATTCTTTTTTAAAGCTGAGTAACATTCCATTGTGTGTATGTACCACAGCTTCTGTATCCATTCATCTGTCAGTGGACATCTAGGCTGCTTCCATGTCCTCAGTTCAGTTCAGTTCAGTCGCTCAGTCATGTCCGACTCTTTGCGACCCCATGAATTGCAGCACGCCAGGCCTCCCTGTCCATCACCAACTCCCAGAGTTTATTCAAACTCATGTCCATCCAGTCGGTGATGCCATCCAGGCATCTCATCCTCTGTCATCCCCTTCTCCTCCTGCCCCCAATCCCTCCCAGCATCAGGGTCTTTTCCAATGTCCTAGCTACTGTAAAAAGTGTTGCAACGAATAATGGGGTGCATGTGTCTTTTTCAGGTATGGTTTTCTCAGGGTATATGCCCAGTAGTGGAATGGCTGGATCATGTGATAGTTCCATATTTTTTTTTCTTAAGCTTTGCTCCTACAGTGAGGTAATCTTGAGGCTCTGAAGGCCCTTAGGAAACCACAGATCTATTGCTTTCCAAATTTGCTCTAGTCTCACTCCAGGCCCATGAGTCAGACCTGTAGGGTAGGGTAGGGGCCTGGTGATCTACATCATTAAACAAGCCCCTTATGGCTCCTAATCAACCAATCAACTGATGACCCAGCCCTTCATCTTACAGACAGGCTCATGGATGGCAAAAAGCCCCACCTGGAACAAACACATCTGTGTGCAGGCTCCGGCTCTCAGCCACTTAAGAGACTCCCAGAAATCATTTTGTCTTTCTGGGCCTCATGGTTCTCATCTGTTTAATGAGGATGACCACTGTAATCCTGCCTAATTTGCAGGGTCCTTGAGATCCTCGAAATAACACTGGAGGTGGGAAACGGAGGCTCAGTGGGAGAAGAGATTTGCACAATGTCATCCATCTCTTCATCTGGCTGTTACCTGCCAGGCTCTGGGAATTCAGCTGGGAACAACTTGTTGGGGGAAGATGCCATTCTAGTAAACAATGAAACCAGTAAATGAACAAGATAATCAGGATAAAGGGAATAAAGGCGTTTTCGAGAGTAAGGGCAAAAGGGTAGAGGGTGCAGGGAAGAACTGCGCAGGCAGGAGGAGTCACTCCAGCAGAGACCTGGGTGTTGCGGAGCCATCAGAGGAGGCCCTGGAGGGCTGTCAGAAGCCTAGTGGCGGCAGAGCCACGAGGCGCCCTCGGGCCCGCCGGGCCGCTCCCAGGGCCCTTGGAAGCACGGCGGGCGCGGGTCTTTGTCTCCCTGGCTCTCTGCAGCCTCTCCGACCCCCCAGTGCTGTTCCCTCCTTGACCCCGAATAACTTGTTGGCTTCACTCGCGCTTTATTTCGTCGAGGCCACCGCCTCCGGGACTCCCGGCAGCCGCCTCGGGCCCTCGTGGGTCCCGCATCTGACACCCCCTCCCGCCCCCGCCCCCTACCCGCTCCGAGACTGGGGTCAAAGGCAGCCCGCGTCACGTGGTCGCCGAGCAGCACCGAATCGGCCGGCAGAGCCGAGGGAGAATCCGGGTGGAAGCCGAGAAATCCAGCCCCGATAGCAGCGCCCAGTCCCGCCCCGGCCCCCGCCCCGGGGTGCTCGCCGCACGCCCGCCGGCCGCTCGGGCCTCCGGCGCCGATCTCTGGCCAGCACCCACGCTCCATCACGGGATCGAAACCCGCCTCCGCCGCCGAGATTCGGGGAGGTAGGCGCCGGGGCCAGAGGGTGTAAGGGGAGGCAGGCGGGGCGGGGGGGGGGTGGTCCCTTGGCGCGCGGGTTCACCTCTCGGTGCTCCGCGGGCCCGCGCGGGGGCGAGGTGGCGCGCCCCAACTTCCAGTCTCCAGGGAGACCCCCCCACCTCCCACCGCGGGATGAGGGGGGAGGCTGAGCGGTGCTCCAGCGCAGTGCCGGGGGCCGGGACTGGGGGCTGGGCACCGCGGGAGGGCCTGGGGGTGGAGAGCCTGCGGAAGGCGGGGCGGCGGCGGCGGCGGCGTGGAGCGGGGGTGGGAGCGGCGGGAGGCGGCCGCGAAGGGGTTAACCCCGGCCCGGGCCAGTGCCCCGCGGCGCGCGCTCGGCCCGGGGGACCCAGGCGTCCGGCGGCTCGCCGGGAGCGCCCCCTCCCCCGGGTGGCGCCCTAGCTGAGGCAGGTAAGAGGCTAGGAGGGCCGCGGCCGGCCAGTCCCCTGTCGCCGAGCCGGCGGGGCCCGAGTCGAGCCGGGCGTGCAGGCCGCGCGGGGCCCGAGTGGCTGCCGGCTCAAGTTTGGTGCGGGCGGGCGCCGGCCGGGCTCGCAGCGTCCGCGGGGCCCCGCGCGCGGGGGTGGGAGGACAAAGGGGTGGGGGACCGCGCGGGGGCCGGGGGCAGGCCGGGGTGCGGGCGAGGGCAGCGCGGCAGCTGTAGGTCATGGATAATGTCACTCACGAGGAATGCCCCCTCCCCCTCCCCACTCCCGAACAGGGGAAACTTTTGTCTGGCGAGGGAGGGGGTTAGAGGCCGGGTCCCCGCTTCGGGAAGGGTAAGGCAGCCGGACCGGTTTTCCCTGGGTTGTGATCCGCCTGGTCTCTTAACTCCCCTCCTCCCTCAGGTTCTCGGGAGCAAGGACACCCCCGCTTTGAACTCTGCCCTTTAACAGCCTGGGACGAGGTAAGAAGGGGGCGTACGTGGACGCGAGGGCTTTGGGACAAACTGGGAAATTGGGAACTGGCCTCCTGGCTCTTTCCCAGACGCAGGCCCGGTGGGTCAGCGAGGAGCCATGTCAAACCCAGGGGATACAGAGCCCCACCATCACACCCCGGTGCTGTACCCACCCGCCCAGAGCATTTGGAATGGCCTGGGCATTATTTTCCATGGTTTGAGGTTCAGATTGACCTGGGGGCCTGTCACTTCCCAGCTCTGTAACCTTGGGCTGGTTCCTTACCTTCCCCTAGCCTCAATTTTCTTACCTGTAAAATGGGCAAAGTGTAAGAATGGGCAAGAATAAGAATGAAATGAGAACCTATGGTACGTTAGTAAACAGGAGCATGCTTATATTCAACAAGTATTTGTCCTATGTGTACTATACGCCAGGGCCTGGGCTAATTGCCTTATGTACTTCATCTCATTTAATTCTACCATGTGACTATCAGCAACATTTTACAGAGGTGCAAACTGAGGCACAGAAATCGGGAAGGTTACACAGGTGAGCAGCGGTGGAGCTTGGATTTGACTCCCCTCCCCCAGCCTGAGTCTCAACTGCAGGGCTCTATAAGATCCTACTGTGACCCATCTTATTTTCCTTTGAAATTATCAGGACATCCTTGGCCTTTCCCTTACCGCCAGGTGTTGCTCCTTCTGCCCAGTCTCGTGTGGGTTGAGATCTTGTGCCTTGGTTCTTATTATTGTGGGCAGCTGGAGCCTGGGCCTGGCGCTGGATAATGGTCCAAGTTCTGCTGCTGGCTGGGGGGACCATGGCAGCAACTCGCTCGTCGAGCGGGTGGTGCAGGGAGGTGCTCTGCCTGGCTCTGGCTGGGGACAGCTGGCGGCTGTCTCTTCCCAGCACCCAGGGAACTGAAGAACTTTCCAACTCCATTCGGACCGGGTCACTTTCACATCAGCAGGGTGCAGAGATAGGGCCAGGAGTGGAGCCCTTGGGATGATGAGAGATCTATGGCCAAGGGACTTATATTCCAGGTGTCCTTCAGTGTGACTCATTGGCAGGGTCCTCATTGCAAAAGTAATGGGCTGCTTTGGTGCACCAACCCCAAGCGTCCTTGAGGATAGTCGTGAAGGGTGGACTTTGAGCCTATGTCTCAATTGCAGAATCCTCATGGAAAATGCATGGGTTTCTGAGCCTAGGGGACACTGTAGGCCCTCAGTAAATAGCCCAGAAATGAATGTGGGGTGGCCTAGACGTTCACTCAGATAAGTGCTCTGTACTAGCCCAGTCTTCTGGTGGCGGTACCAGTCCATGACTATAGATCAGGCTCTGAGTAGGGACCTTGAGTAATTTATTAAAAAATAGAAAACAAATTGCTGGTTACTAAATGACATATTAAAACAGTAGAGTGGGCGTAGATAATAAAGTTTTGGGGAGAGGAAAGTTTGTGCATTACTGTTTGAACTGCTCCAAGGGCTGTTTCAGCACTGAGTCTGGGATTTGCAGTGTCCATAGGGTTTTCCTGGACTCTGAGAATAGGGGGTCCTCTTGGACTGACAGTTCATTGCCAGTTTGTAGGAACAAGAGGGGAAATTCGACTACTTAGCTAGAGTTTAAGGGCACTCAGAAATGTGGGGGATTGAAGAGAGTCCTAAGGGATGGTAATGACCCTTGGCATGTGGTCAGACTCTCCTTGTCATGATCAGAGCAAGAATCAACAGGTGAAGGGAAGAGAAGCAGCAAGAATGAAAAGATGGATAGTGAATCTCCAGTCACAGGGGTATGCAAAGACAGTTTTACAATCACAAATTGAGGATGTGGTTAAAGGTATGAAATCATAAGCTGGGGGTTGACCTAGGGGCCAACTGAGAAACCCTGCATGTAAGACACTTAGGAATGGACTCTGGTTTTCGCAGTTTAGAGCGTTCTCTGCCCTGGGCTTTGGACCTGCGTGACCCGTCTTCCAAACTTTGAGGTCAAAAACAGGCCTGTAAGTCCCTGGAGACTGGGCAGACTTCTGCTTGTTTGGAATTTGGTTTAGGATATAGCTTGAAATATCTGGACTGTTTGGAGAATTTGGACATTCTTTATTTGAAATGGAACGTTTGGGTAATTTGTTAAATATGTATGGAAAATGTTTGTGGACGGGGGTGACTGGGAAATGAAATGGGGTGAGGTGCTGCTGCTTTCTGACTGGAGAGTCTGCTAATCTGATGGGGGAGGGAAGGCAAGGATCAAGTGATGGCGAAGAGGCAGGATGTGATCAGTGATAGATGGGCTTTGGAAGGTCAGTGGAGGGGAAAAGCTCTTCTAGTTATTAATGTCGACAGGGCTTCCTGGGGGAGGAAGTGCTTGTGAGGGTGCAGGCAGTGGGAAGGGTGGCAGTGGGAAGCAAGATCAGGTCATGGGGAGCTTGCAGTATCCTGCTCAGGAGTTTGTATTTTATTCTGTGGCTGGTGGAGAGGACAGAGGTTTGTAAGCAGCTCATTGAGTTGGTGCCTGTTACTGTGTCTTGTGCCAGGCTCCTTACAGACGCTCCATTGAAATCTCACAATACCCCTGCAAAGTAGCTGCTTGCTGCTCACCCCCAACCCCACCCCATCTTCAGATGAGGAAATGGAGGCTCAGAGGGGTTGAGTCACTTACAGACCTGTGTTTGAGCCCAGGCTTGAACTGTTTCTGCCCTCTTGTGCTGCTTCTCTTGGGGGTCATTTGGCTGGAGATGGTGGCAAGACTGGCAGGGTTGAGACCAGCTCAGAGATGATGCTAATTGTGGTCCAGCAGAAAGTTGACCGAAGTCTGACTCAGGCCACAGGACGGACTGAGAGGGAAGGAGGGGGGAGGCTACAGGACTTTGTAGGTGCCTTGAGGATGGGGTCATCACAGGTGGCCTCAGGTTTGGGGACCCATAAGTGGCCGTGTCACTGCTTTCGGTTCCCTACAGGGCTGTCTCTGGGCAGAGGGCATAATCTTGTCCTGTGTGGCTCTCAAGGGCAGAGACAGCCCCAAGGGTGACAGTGAAGCTAATGGGCATAAACTGCCTGGGGAGGCAGCAAGGTCCCATTGCTGACAGCACGCAGAGGACCTGGAGAGGGTGCAGAAAGCATGTGCCAGCACGGTTAGGCCTGGGTGACTTCTTTCAGTTCCCTTTGCACCCGAGAATCTCAGCGTTTAGGGTGTGCTTGACCCATTTCCACTTCATTTTTCTCATCGCTTTTCAGAACTGCCCCTTCCTGTGCGTTTCCAGAAGTTCCTCTGCAGCGCTCTGCCTGGGAGAGCCCATGCCCCACGGAAACCCTCAGCCCAGCTGCCCTTTCAGAGGCCCCTCAGGATTTCTAGATCAGCCACCAAAGCCTGAATTGCCAGGGCCTGTGGTTTCACATAGGCCTGGAACCTTCTGCCTTCCTTTCTCAGCCTGTGAAATGGGTTCAGTCTGTCTTTCCTCAAACATGAGGAAATAAGGCTGAATCATGAATCAGGCTGACTCAGTCAGGGGTTGGTTTGAAAGTGAGGAGTGGATGGGGTGGGGTGTGTGTGGGGGGCCAGGGGTATCTGCCTCCTTCCCCTCATTAGAGGTTAGAGTCTTCCAATCTCAGGGCTCACCAGCCAGGGTACTTTCTTCTGCCTGTGGGGCTGTCACAAAGCTCTGTCAGCTTCAGCTTGGAGGTCGAGAGCTTGGAAGAAGGGGTGGATGGGGGTGTCTTGGACTCTGTGGTGTTGGGGCTAAAGCCAGTCTGTCACCAAAGGAATTACAGAGGTCCTCAATGGCTCAGTGGCAAAGAATCTGTTTGTAATGCAGGAGATGCAGAGATTTGGGTTCGGTCCCTGGGTCGGGAAGATCCCCTGGAGGAGGGCATGGCAATTCACTCCAGTATTCTTGCCTGGAGAATCCCATGGACAGAGGAGCCTGGTGGGCTGCAGTCCATAGG